AGCCTCCTGTATGTCTACCATGGATTCCAGCATCTGCAGGTTTTTTTGTCTCTATCAGAGAGTTGTCATCAGGCTGATGACCTTTGGCATCCACAACTGGTCACAACTCTGCAAATCAAATCAACAATTTGTTGTTTAATGACTCTCACTGTCTCTCAACACCTTTAGCTTGTAGAAATCTGTTTCTTTCTTAAATATGTTCTGTGACTTAGCCTCCACAGCCTTCTGTGGTAGTGAACTCGATGCATTCGCCACCTTCTCCTCATCCCAGTCCAAAATGGCCCAGCATGTAATCTGAAACCATGATCTCTTGTTTAGAACCCCCATGCTCCTTTACTCAAACCATCTTGTAATGAATGCTAACATAGTATTTGTCTTGCTAATTGTTTGCAGACACTGGATACTTGCTTTTAATGACTGGTGTACAAGAACAGCCAAATCCCTTTGACCCTCAACATTTCCCAATCTACACTGCTATTCTGTTTTTCATCCTGAAGTGGGCAACTTCACATTTATCCAAACTATACGGCATCTGCTATCTTACAGATAAATAAAACTGCAGATGCTGGAATCCAAGGTAGACAAACAGGAGGCTGGAAGAACACAGCAAGGCAGGCAGCATCTGGAGGAAAGAAGTCAATGTTTCTTCAGGACTGGATGCGGGGGTAGGGGAAACTACAGATAAAGAGGGGTGGGAGGGTGTAGCAGAATGGTGGTGTTAGGGGTCCACCTCCCCCTCCCTTTATCTGCAGCTCCCCCTACCCCCACATCGAGTCCTCAAGAAAGGTAGTACCCGAAACGTTGACTTCTCTTTTCCTCCATATGTTGCCTGGCTTGCTGTGTTCTTCTAGCCTCCTGTTTGCATATCTATTTGCCCACTAACTCAATGTGTCTATTTTGCCTTGAAGCCTTTTGAGATCATTCTTGCCACTCACTCCAACTTATTTTCTGTTGTCAGAAAATCTGGAAATATTAAACAAGTCCCTCATTTACGAACAACTCTGTAATAGGGGACACAGAAGCTAATGATTTTATAATGGATGTATGAAGGAGAAGTCAATCCATTGAAATTGTTTGACTGTGTAGTTAGCTAGTAGAGTTTTCAGAATTGGTGGATGGCCTCTATTTAGAACTTGTAAAGGCATGAGACGAAATATTGAAGATTAGAGCCCACGACATTGGCAGTTAATATCAGCATGGCACAAGGTTTGGTCAATGGTCAGAAAACAGTGCGAATAAATCGGTTATTTTTGGAATTGCCAGCTACCACAAGCAGAACGCTGCAAGGATCAGCGCTTGGTCCAGTTTCTATCTACAATCTACATCAAAAACTTAGATGAAAAGACCAAATGTAATATATTGAAGCATGCTGACCATACATAAGAATTCATGAAAATAGAAGAGTAAGCTGTATACCCCATGGAGACAGTTCCATTCTTCATCAAGATCACACTTAACTATTCATCATCCTACACTCCCGACCCTACATCCTCACCTCATAAATTCTTTAGTGCTCAAATGTCTTTGAATAGAAACAATGACAGAGAATCTATACCTTCAAGAGCAGAAAATTGCAAAGATTAACCAACATGTCCTCACCACACCAGGTGCAAATTTTTTTTATTTCTCATCTCTGTCCTAAACGGTCAACTCCTTATCCTAACACCATGGGCTGAATTTGCAAGGAGTCGGATTGAGAAATGGTCAAGGGTCCCAAATGTGGATTGCCGCCCACTTCACCCCTTATTTTTAACACATCCAATGTTTGTCAGTAAGGGAAAGGAGGCAGGGTGCAGGTCACGCAGGAAGAAATTCAAACTCAGCAGAGCCACATGAACTCAGCAGTGAGCTCATTTTTGCTGTTGCAATATACTTAATCCACAGTGTGAGAGTACAAATTGAAACAGTAGATGTAAATGCTCTTTGAGAGTGGGTAAGGTCTGTTTAAGTGTCGTGATCTTAAGTTATGTTTAAATCCATTAGTCAGCATGGCTTTGAGAGGGGCAGGTCATGCCTCACAAGCCTTATTGAATTATTTGAGGGTGTGACAAAACATATGATGAAGGTGGAGCAGTGGATGTGGTGTATATAGATTTTAGCAAAGCATTCGATAAGGTTCCACATGGTAGGCTCATTCAGAAAGTAAGGAGGCATGGGATTCAGGGAAATTTGGCTGTCTCGATACAAAACTGGCTGTCCAATAGAAGACAGAGGGTGGTAGTAAATGGAAAGTATTCAGCCTGGAGCTTGGTGACCAGTGGTGTTCTGCAGGGATCTGTTCTGGGACCTTTGCTCTTTGTGATCTTTATAAATGACTTGGATGAGGAAGTGGAAGGGTGGGTTAGTAAGTTTGCTGATGACACGAAGGTTGGTGGAGTTATGGACAGGATGGATGGCTGTTGTAGGTTGCAACGGGACACTGACAGGATGCAGAGCTGGGCAAAGAAGTGGCAGATGGAATTCAACCCAGAAAAGTGTGAAGTGATTCATTTTGGAAGGTCGAATTTGAATGCAGAATACAGGGTTAATGGCAGGATTCTCAGCAGTGTGGAGGAACAGAGGGATCAGCCCATGGTGTTAGGATAAGGGGTTGACCGTTTAGGACAGAGATGAGAAATAAAAAAATTTTGTACCTGGTGTGGTGAGGACATGTTGGTTAATCTTTGCAATTTTCCACTCTCGAAGGTATAGATTCTCTGTCCATAGATCCCTCAAAGTTGCTAGCCAAGTTGATTGGGTTGTAAAGAAGGCATATGGTGTGTTGGCTTTCATTGGCAGGGGAATTGAGTTGCCATGAGGTTATGCTGCAGTTCTATAAAACTCTGGTTAGACCACACTTGGAATATTGTGGTCAGTTCTGGTCACCTCATTATAGCAAAGATGTGGAAGCTTTAGAAAGGGTGCAGAGGAGATTTACCAGGATGCTGCCTTGACTGGAGGGCAGGTCTTATGAGGAAAGGTTGAGGGAGCTAGGGCTTTTTTCATTGGAGCGAAGAAGGTTGAGAGGTGACTTGATAGAGGTTTACAAGATGATGAGAGGCATAGATAAGAGTGGATAGTCAGAGACATTTTCCCAGGGCGGAAATGACTATTACGAGGGGGCATAATTTTAAGGTGATTGAGGAAGGTATAGGGGAGATGTCAGAGGTAGGTCCTTCACACAGAGAGTGGTGGGTGTGTGAAATGCGCTGCCGGCAGTGGTAGTGGAGTCAGATACTTCAGAGATTTTTAAGCGACTCTTGGATAGGCACATGGAGGATAGTAAAATGTAGGGTATGCAGGGTAAATTGATCTTAGTAGGATAATAGATCGGCACAACATCGTGGACCGAAGGGCCTGTACTATGCTGTACTGCTCTATGTTCTATTACTATTTTCAAAATGAGCAACAATTGTCATTGAAAAAACCCACTACTATACTGCTTTGATTGACAGGCCATCTTCCTCGGATCAATAAACATAAATGTAGCCAGGATGCATGCAGTTCCAAAATGAGTTCTTTGTTGACATCTCCTCAAGGGTTATGATGTCAATATGAATGTTTAGCTAAATTTCAAAAGTTACAAATTATTTGAGCAAACTGATCTGATTTTAAAATTCAATTGGCAACTTAAACATGTTTAAAGTTTAGCAGTCTTTGAGGTGAGATCTTGTTTATTTTTATAAGAATTTGAGAAAATTACAAAGCCTTGAATTAATTTTATAAATGGTGCCTTCTATCTGCTCCACTGTCAGAAGTGTATAAGTGAAAGCTGTGGTTTTCAATCTACTACTTCTTCATCACCACGTGGCTCAAGGTCTGCCCATGTTAAATAATGGGTGAATGGCTCCTGAAAAATTCATTCATGGATGTGGGCATTGTTGGCTAACCAGTAATCATTGCCCATTCCTAACTGGCCAGAAGGCAATGAGTCAACCACATTGCTATGGGTCTGGAGTCACATGTAGGCCAGACAGTAACAGCAGCAGTTTCCTTCCCAAATACAATAAAACATAGGGTAAGAACTAGGCCATTCAGCCCATTGAGTCTGCCCTGCCATTCAATCATTGCTGTTATGTTTGTCAACCCCAAGCTCCTGCCTTCTTCCCATAACCCTTGAAACCCTTACCATCAAGAACCTATCTCTATCTTGAATACACTCAATAATTTGGCCTCCACAGCCCTCTGCAGCAATAAGATCCCCAGATTCACCACCCTTTTGCTGAAGAAATGCCTCCTCATCTTAGCTCTAAAGGGTCATCCCTTCACTCTGAGGCTGGGCCCTTCAGTCCTAGTCTCACCTATAGTGGAAACATCTTTGCCATGTCCATCCTTCTAGTCTTCTGCAGCATCCCCCTTTCTTCAACATTATCTGACCCTCAACCTACCTAAAATGACATTAATGAATTAGATGAGGTCTTCCAGACAATCGACAATGATGTCATCAGACTCTTAATTCCAGACTTTTAGTGAATTCAAATTCTCCAATGTGCCTTGGCCAGATTTGGTCTGTAGAACATTATCTGAGTCTCTGAATTAATAGTCTCCTAATGCTAAATAATGTTCCTAATGCAATTGCCTCCCCATCGCAATGTCAAACACAGGCTATGTGTCTTTCATTTGAAAAAGAGACAATTGTGGAGCTTAAAATTATTCCAGTGTTTCATAAAGATTGCCTGCAATATGTCAAGTTTAAGCGCCGGCAATTCTGATGATCTTTTTAAGTTTCAATGCTTTTTTTTCACCCGGCGGGCAAGCAAGCCAGGAGAAGAAAGCATGCAAATTGGAATGACCTCAGGATCCTGCAGAAAGGAATGGGGTGAAGGATCTTGGAATGTCACGCGTGCGCATTACAGGCCCTGGTTCATTATGTCCATCACTCCCAAAATCAGACATGCGCAGTAGCAGAAACTCGCTTGTTAATATATATGTATATATAACGCACGCGCAGTACTCCAAACAGCTGCACCTTATTTGGCAAGCGGCTGCTGTGTTTGGGTTGCTAACCGGGGCCTACCCACCTGTCGCGGGGATCGACCCAGCTCGTCTGCTTGGTGTTGTGGTCGATGTAGTACAACTTCCCATCGTAGTCGGTCGCCTCTTCCCAACCGGGTGGCAGGGGCAGTTCTCCATTGCCCTTGCTGAGCTTGGGCATAGCGAGCGGCAGGTTGTTAGAAACTCCAGCTCCTCCATAGGAAAGTAAAACGATGAACGAGAAACGCCGAGTCGCTGCTCCGAGCCGGCGGCGCTTCGCCTCGAAACATTCCTCTCTCTCTTCGAGTTTGTGATAAACAAATGTTTTTTTTTCTCCCCTGTGCTGCTCACGCCTCCATGTTTATTTGAGCTGAGCGGAGGGAGAAGCTCGAGTCGCCGTTTGGATTCCGCTCGCGCTCCCAACCGAAACGCGCGCACGACCACCCAAAATGTTACCGTCTTTTCGATCTCCTCTTCGGCTCTTTCGGGTTTGCAAACTCTCCCGTTCTGCCCCTACTCCTGCCTCGAGAGCAAAAGTTTCTTTCTCGTTGTCCCCCTGTTGATGAACCGCTGCCCTTTTTCTGGGATCCCCCCCCCCCCCACGGCTGAGCGGCACCGCTTCCGAATGCTCTCCGCTTACTGCATGACGTCATCCAGGTTGTCAGTCAGGTACCTTTCTGCCGTAATTACACTAAAAGAAGCGCTGGAGTACGACCGTAATGTGCTTAAACTTACTGTCCCCTTCCTCGAATCTTCTCACCCCATTTATCCACCACACCACGCAACCCCCACCCCAGCCTTGAAACTTTGAGTTAAAGGATGGATGGGTTGGAATTGAATAATGTTTTGCTGTGTCTGTATTCAGGTGCTAGCTTTGTCTCACTTGGCATTATGCTTACCCCTGATTCTACAAGGTTATGGGTTCAAGTGTCATTTTGGTGCAGTAGTGAGGACAATGTGGACTCCTGGATGTGCCGTTTTTCATATTAGGTTTTAAACAGATGCTCTGTGTTTTCCCCCTTGTGAAGCTAAAACATCTCATTTTAAGAAGCCCTGATATCCCTCAATCAATGCCACAAAGACAGATACGCAAACCCACAATGCTGGAGAAACTCAGCAGATCTAACATAACTTGGAGAGCGAAAAACAGTTAACATTTTGAACCCGGTATGACTTTTTCAGAATGTAAAGTGTGTACTGTTTCTCTTTCCACGGCTGCCAGACCTGCTGATTTCTTTTTTTTCCAGCATTCTTTTTGATTTAGTTTTCCAGCATACACAATATTTTGCCTTTACACTCTCAGATTGTTGCTTCATGTCAAATTGTTGTTTATTGCGTCTTGAACATAGGAAAATGGAAATGGAAGTTAAATTGTCTGTGATGTTTCCTACATTACAGCAGTGACTAAACTTTAACAGTACATTATTGGCTGTAAAGTGCTTTGGAACTTATTGTGCATAAAATGTGCTATGTTTTGTTTTTATGGGGAGGTGTATACAATCTTGCAGTGCAAATGGAGGCCACTCAGGTTATTGTACCTGTTTTTCTTTCTCTTTGAGAGAGCTGTCCAATGTAGTTTCCCACCCTTATTTCTTTCCCCATAACCCTACAAATTTCCCCTCTTCAAGTACATGTTCAATTGCCTTTAAAAGTTCCTAGGCAAAGTAACTTTCCAGCTTTCCACATAGTGTATTGCAAATCCTTAACATTTTGTGTGCAAAATGTATTTTTTTACTTCCAGTTCTTATCAGTGAAGTTAAATTTATGCTCTCTAGTTAGTGACCAATTTAGCAGAGGAACTGTTTTTCCCCCCACTTGTTTGATCAAAACCCCTAAAGTTAGATGCATCTCATAAATCTTCCCTTTCCTGCACAAAGGAGAACAACAACAGTTTCTCATTTGCCAAGTGCACCTGAAACATCATAACATTTTAAAAAAATGCAGTGAATTTTTCTGATCTGAAATACAGCCTCCAAATCCAGATTCAGTGACCAGCTTAAAAAGGGAATTTAAAGGAAAAAATAAAAGGCTATCAGGAAAGGATAGGGGTGCAATATAAAGTCACCATAATCTTGCTATTTAAATTATTTTTGTTTATATATTAATGATCTGGATAAAGGAACTGTGGTAATTGTTGCAAAATTTGCAGATCACAAAGGTAGTGGAGGGACAGGTAGTGTTGAGGAAACAGTGAGGCTGAAGAAGGACTTAGACAGGCTAGGAGAATGGGCAAGAAGTGCCAGATGGAATACAATGTGTGAAGTTATGCACTTTGATAGGAAGAAATGGTGTATGCTGCTTTCTAAATGGAGAAAGACTTCAGAAATCTGAAGCACAAAGGGGTTTGGGAGCCCCAGCTCGGGATTCTCTTAATATGCAGGTTCAGTTAGCAGTTAAGAAGGCAAATGCGATATTAGCATTTTTTTTCAAGAGGACTAGAATACAAGAGCAAAGATGTCTTGCTTCGGCTATCCATGAGGCTCTGGTCAGACTGCATTTGGAATATTGTGAGCTGTTTTGGGTTCTGTATCTAAGGAAGGATGTGCTGGCATTGGAGGGGGTCCAGCCAAGGTTTACAAGAGTGATTCTGGGGATTTAGGGCTTCTCATGTGAGAAGCAGTTGAGAACTATGGTGTGGAGATGTTTCCATAGTAGGAGAGACTAGGATCTGAGGGCACAGCTTCAGAGTGAAGAAATGACCCTTTTGAACTGGGAGGAGGAATTGTTTCAGCCAGAGAATGGTTAGTGTGTGGAATTCATTGCTGCAGAGGGCTGTGGAGGCCAAGTCATTGAGTGCACTTAAAACAAGGTCAGAAATCACACCACCAGGTTATAGTCCAACAGCTTGATTTGAAAACACAAGCTTTTGGAGCCTCAGTCCTCATTCAAGTGAATACAGGAGCAAAGATGTATTGCTTAGGCTATACATGAGGCTCTGGTCAGACTGCATTTAGAATATTGAGCTGTTTTGGGTTCTGTATCTAAGGATGGATGTGCTGGCATTGGTGGGGGGTCCGAACAAGGTTTAGGTGATGAAGGACTGAGGCTCAAAGCTTGTTTTCAAATCAACCTGTTGGATTATAACCTTCTGTCATGTGATTTCTGAACTTGGCCACCCCAGTCCAACACCAGCACCTCCACATTGTATTTAAAACAGCGATGGATAGGTTCTTAATTGGTAGAGGGATCAAAGGTTACAAGTAGAAGGCAGGAGAATAGGATTGTGACACATTTGAGCCATGATCAAATGGTGGAACAGGCTCATTGAGCTGAATAGCCTAATTCTGCACCTATTTCTTGTGGTGTTATGGCCTCATTAGGGAGAAAGATGATTAGTGGTTGTTTTACCTGAGTCAACACAACTCAAGTAAGGGTCAAGATTGTGAAGGCAGGACCTTCATGGTAACATCAGTGGATATGGGAATTGACCGGCACTATTGGTGTAATTCTGCATTGTAAATCAGCCATCCAGCCAACAGAGCTAGGGGAGTGATCCTCTTTGGATAGGAATACCAAAGAACTAGCCCAAGTACAGGTAAAATGTATGGCTTCCTTTTGTATCACTTTATAATACTGCAGTCAGTTCTCATAACTGAAATCTAGCATCGTGATACAGCTCTTCTGCATCTTTTCCAAACTGCATTGTCTAGAATTGTACATGTGAGAAGCCTAACTATTTTTTTTTTTCAAAAATAGCGTATGATTTCCTTATTCTTGTACTCAGTACTTCTGTTACAAAGCCTGGTGTGCCATATGCTTGTTAACCTCCCACTTACAAAGAGTTGTGAATAGAGACCCCAGCCCCTTGCTCCCACACCATCTTCTAAATAGAGACCTATAGATTATAATGACTCTCCATGTGATTATTTTAGAAAGAATGACTTTATTCCACAGAACAACAATATACTTTTTAATCACTTAATACTCTCTTGAGTACCTCAATTGAACCTGCCTCCACCACAATTCCTGACATGCATTCCAAACCTGAACCATTGGTTGTGTGCAAGAGTTCATGGATTTGAAGGAGGAGCTTATGAGTTATGACAGTGTGTCTTGTAGATGATACTCTGCTGCCACTGTACATTGGTTTTGCATGGAGTGCCACTCATGCAGGTTGCTGGTTGTACCCAGTTTTGTTTATATTATTGAATGTTGTTGGAACTGCATGCATCCAGGCAAGTATTCCCTCACTCCTGAGTTGTGCCTCGTAGATAGTGAGCATGCACGGAGAGACAGGATCTGAGATACACACCACAGAGTTCATAGTTTCAGACCTACTATTGTAGTCAGAGTATTTGTGGCTGGTCTGCATAAGTTTTCAATCAATGCTAACCCCCAGCTTGTTAGTGGGGGCTTTGGTGAAATGTTGTGGAACAGCAATGGCAGATGGTTAGACTCTCTTGTTTAAGATCCTAATTGCCTGGCACTACTGCAGTGCAAATGTTACTTCCAACTTTTTTTAAAAAAAAACTGAGGGTGGTTGAAATCAGAAACAGAAACTGCTGGGAAAATTCAGCATCTGTGGAAAGAAAGCAGAGTTAATGTTTTGTTTCCAGTGAACCATCTTCAGAGCTGATTGTAGCTAGGAAAAAGTTGGTATATGTGCTGAGGGTGGAGGAGTAAATGACAAATGGAGATGAAGCCCAGAGAACAATAGTTAGACAGACAAAGGAATGGGTAAAGGTCAGTATGGTCGAATCAATAATTGCTAATTGGGACTAATAGTAGCTGACAATAAGATGGTTATGGTAGCAGCCCATGTGATATCAATACCTGGTGTGTGGGAACTGGGGTAAGAACATGGGAGAGGGTGCTCGGGCCCTAAAACTATTGAACTCGATATTCAGCCCCAAAGGCTGCAGAGGCTCCCAAGCAGAAAATGAGACTCTGTTCTTCAGCTTGAGCTTCGCTCTGCTGGAGCACTGCAACAAGCCTAAGACACATTGGGCAGGGAATACAGTAGTGTGTTGAAGCGACAGGCAACAGGAAGCTCAGGGTCATTTTTGAGGACAATGTAGGTGTTCTGCAAAGCGATCACCAAGTCTGCGTTTCATCTTCAGTGCAGAGGAAACCACGTTGTTAGCAGCAAACACAGTAGACTGGATTCAGTGAAGTATAGATGAATCACTGCTTCATCTGGAAGGTGGCCTTGGATTATGAGGAAGGAGTAAGTAAAGTTGCAGGAGTTTCACCTTCTGTGCTTGCATGGGGAGGTGTTGGGCGTGGAGGAGGAGTGGACCAGGGTGTCCTGGAGGGAATGGTCACTGGAAAACTGACAAGGGAGAGGAGGAGACTGTCTGTCTGGTGGTATCCCACTGGAGGTGGCAGAAATGGCAGCAGATGATCCTTTCAATGTGGATGCTGGGAGGTGGTAAGTGAGGAACAGGAGACCCTATCACTGCTTTGGAGGGAAGAGAAGTGGTGAGGGCTGAACTGCAGGAGATGGGTCGAACATGGCCGAGGGTCCAATCAACCATGGTGGAGGGGAATCCTCAGATGAGAAAGGTGAACATTTTTGGAGGCCCCCATGTAGAAGCTGGTGTCATTGGAACAGATGTGGCAGAGACAGAGAAACTGGGAAAATGGAATAGTGTCTTTACAGGAAGCAGTGTAAGTGTGGTTGTCATTGAGTTTGTAGTGGAT